TCACCTAATGAAACTGACGAAGAAACAAATGACAAAATGAAATGAAGTTCACATTCATCGATTTATTCCAAATGATCATTAGACTAAGTAAGGCACAGACTGACCATTATAAGGGTAAAATGATACCCGGGGTCAAACAGCAAAGTTACCACAGCATCACAACCAAGTCAGTAACGGGTAAATCCTCCTCTGTTTGCCAAACAAGCATTGATCCGACGTGGCATACTCCTAATGAGACGTCTAAGGTCATTTTGGTCCAGATTGTCCCATTCCTGTTGCAACGCAGCAGCAAGTTCTTGGACATTGGCAGGACGTTGTTGACGTTGACGTAACCTCTGTCCAAGCATGTCCCAGACATGCTCGATGGGGGAGAGGTCGGGACTCAGTGCTGGCCAAGGTAATGTGGTGATGTTCTGTTGTTGGAGGTAACCTGTAACGATCCTGGCCCTGTGACATCTTGCGTTGTCATCCTGGAAGATGAAACGGCGGCCATGACGTCGTGCGAACGGCACAACATGGAATGCCAAGATGTTGTCCCGGTAGTACTGGCCTGTAACACGCCCTGCAACAACACGTTAAGCCGTTCTTCCAGCAACAGTGATGCCTCCCCACACCATAACAGAACCACCCCCAAATCGATCATGTCTGATGACGTTAACGTCTTGGAAGCGCTCGTTTCGACGACGTCACACCCTCCTACGTCTGTCCAAAAAATCAACAGTGAACCTTGACTCATCTGAAAACATCACATTGCTCCAGCGTCGATTATCCCAGTATTGACGATCCCTACACCAACGACGTCTTGCCTGAATGTGATGATCTCTCAAACAAGGGATCACGCGAGGACGTCGGGCGTGAAGGTGACCCCTATGCAGTCGATTCCGAATCGTCTGGCCACTCACTCTCACACCAGTGTCTGTTTGAAGACTAGCGCTGATCTGATTTGCTGTGATGACACGATTTCTCAAGGCCAAGGTATGGATAAATCGATCCTGGGCTTGAGTTGTTGCCCTTGGTCGACCTGAGCGTGGTCTGTCCTGTACAGATTGTGTATCACGGTATCTGGACCATAGCCTGCTTACGACAGACTGAGAAACATTCATCGTCCGCTCCACAACCGCCTGTGTTGTGCCGATCTGTAGCATGCCAAGGGCACGTAACCTTTCATTTTGGGTAAGCCGACGCATATCAAAATTTGTTTTCTGGTCACTAAAACAATTAAACTGATGTTTCCACCCTGGAATTCAATGCCACAATGACTGTAACATTCAAAGTCAGAGTCGTTCAAATCTTGGGTTGGACCCCCATGATGATCCCAAGCATCACCTGCATTCCATGCGGTAGCTATTGGTGCGTTTGGGCGTCACATGTAACTGGAAATGTTTCTTCTGTTAGGTTCTATAGTGACTTTTTTCGTAGTCATTTGCATATTTTAGTATTATGCCCCCAAAATCAAATATCCCCTACTTTTTTTGAATAGTATACAAGGATAGTAAATTAAACTATAAAACATAAGTACTATATGCCAAAAAGTGTCCATTGATTTAGCAATTTTTCGGATCACGGACAGCTATGCATGACACGTACGTCCGACGCTGAAGTGAATGATAATTAAATCAGTCTACCGGAACTCTCGGCATTATTTATATTTCTGCTTTATTAAAATTTATTTCAATCTGAAAATCAATGATTCCTTTCGAAAATCAAAGTATCGGTATAAACAATTTGTCAAGATTTATAGAAATTGAAAAGAAACGGATAATGCTAACGGGTGGAAAAGTGAGCGAGAAGTCACGTGACGTAAACAAAGCTCCTTATATTATAGTATTTATTCATCATTAAGCAATAAAATGTCGTAAATAACATCAAAAGGTAAACATTTTTTCAATATTTGTGTTAAATATCATCCAGAAAAATCAAAACCGCCATATATCCTGTGGTGGTACGTGTTTTTTACTATTAGGCTAATAAACTGTTTGTCAATTTGTGTCCGTGAATCAACGTATATTTTTGACCGATGTCGGAGTTTGTTTGATGGAATATAACGACAATAATGAAAGGACAGATAGTCGAACACTAAAAGAGGTCATTTATGATATGTGTGTATTGTTTTTATTGAATACGGTAAACTCCAAGCCGATAAAATATAAGATTTGGCCACAGATCACTAAACATTTGCCCATTGACTTTAATGTTAATTCTCGTCTCTTAGACCGGCTCTAACTTTTTCCCAAATTTTCGTTGGGTAGAACGCTTTCTACCACAGATGGAGCAACATGTAGCAACCTTTTGCCCAAAATCACGTATGAGGTTCACCATGGAAAACTTGAGATACACAAGCTGGAAGTAGAGACAAGAAAACATGCAATTTTGGACCCTACATTTCAACCTAACCAACCTCTCAACTCTTGTATCCTTCCGCCTCAAAATCATGAATATTCACCAAAACCTGGTAGAAAATGTATTTTCAAACCCTTTTCTTTGATTCTACACCAAAAAGTCAATAAAATTTGCCATGCAAAAGGGGGAAAAAGGGAAAGGGAGAGAAAGACTAAAAATAACTTTTGCCCTACATTCGTGGGTGACGGTGGTGAGCTGTGTCCATTTTTACCCCGATCAGTTCGGGGGGAAAAAACGCATGCGCAGATGTCACAAAACGCCGGATATAGACATCGCTTTATTTACATTTTGCAAGGAACTTAGGACGGAAAATAATGTATAGAATTTCCGTTTTTTGTCATAATTATCGTCTTGATTTTGCGTGAAAGAAGAAATGTTATTCAGTAACAATAAGTGAAAAAATGTTACACACATTTTTTTTTCGTGTGACATATTTTGTGACACGCAGTCTACAAAATCAACACGCATTTTGCGTGTTTGCGTCCGTCAAATTCGATCCCTGTATCTTTATATCCCAAAGATATCAGTCCCTTTTGATATTTCCGCATTTCAGACCATAACTTTCTGGATTATTGCCCCTGATTGTACAAAAAATCCTGTTTGTTTTTAGCTTGTTCTATATCCATCTCTTGCAAAATGTGGGGGTATTCTGCCTGGCAGCTGCTGGTTGCCTTTAGCGCCCGAAGGCTACAATTCTGAATGGATTATCTTGGAACTTGGTATACCTGACGGCAACTATTGATGTTGGTGCACGACCCCCTCCTCCACCCCCACCCTCTTCCATTTCGGCGGTGCCAAACCCACTTTTTGTTGATATTTTGTCCGTAAATGATTTACAGGTTGCAATTATTAACAGATTTGGATCCAATTCAGTATGATACAGCATAGAGTTGTACTTACATAGAAATGTGGACGTATATTGTCGGTCCGTCCGTCGGTCGTCCACAATTGTTTTAAAATTGATATATGTTGTTTACATAAGTGAGATGAAGAAGCCTTTTTAATTTCAATAATTTCCGTTTATAAGGTCTAGAGTTATGGCCCCTGTTTCACTTTGTTCAACCTTGTGAACGCTCTAATGCCAAAAGTTAACTTCCGATCTTTGTGAAATTTATATGCAATATTTAAATTAGGGAAACGAAGAGGCCTATTGAATTTCAGCAATTTCCGTTTATTACTTCTAGAGTTATGGCCCTTGTTTAACCTTGTGAACACTCTAACCCCAAAAGTTATCATCCAATCTTTTTGAAATTTATATGCATTATTTAAACATGCATTATGCAAGAGCTAAATCTGATTATTGCAAGTCTTAATTTAGGCTTCAGATGTTATAGAAATTATAAATGAGATCTTTATTTAAACAACAAGACCAAAATCAACTCTGTAGACCCACGGATGGCTCGGCTACAGCTCGGATTTAAATAGGATTTCACTAATTGATTAAATCAGATAAGGGGTAACCTGATGAAAATACGTCAATAGGATCGAGGCTAAATGATAGAGTGTACTTAGCGAGGCCGCTGTAAAGCGTTTCCGTATGCCATTGAAAACTTGACTTGATAATCGAGATATGTAGGTGGACTTAACGCCTGTCAATCAAACGTTCGGCGAAGGTGAAGACACATTTCGCTACCATTTCTAGGCAAATATTACAACGATGATAACTATGTTCAGAATAAAGTAATTTGACTGAATTTTTCAATATATTCTTCTTTCATCATCTACTTTTGAACTGTTATAGCAAGAATGGCCAACTCTCTATAAATATCTCCCATAATGTATCTTTAAATTAGTAAAACGAAGAAGCCTGTTGAATTTCAACAATTTCTGTTTATTACGGCTAGAGTTATGGCCCTTGTTTCACTTTATTGAACTTTGTGAATGCTCTAACATCAAAAGTTATCTGCCGATCTGTATTGAATTTACATGCATCATTTAAATTTAATGGACACATGCTGTGTCGTACATTTAGTAATAGATACATTGTGTGTCGTACGGTTATTAATAGATACATGTTGTGTTGTACAGATAGTAACGGATACAAGTACACAAGGTGTCTTACAATTAATTCCTCGAGTACAATCTTAAAATCAGTAGTATCAGGTAAATGCCATGTCCTACAGTCAGTAACAAGTATACATACTGTAACACTACAGGCTCACATGATGTCTTATCAATTGCACAGTTAATGTAAACCTGTAAGTTTTTTCGCCGCTATATTTACTACACATGACCGTATCAATTTATAAATCTATTGTTTCTTACCTGGGTTGTAAATATGATTATCCATGAAAAACAAATTTCCACACTATATATTCACATATCGAATAACAATGATGCAAATAGTGACATGCGCTAGCTTCCACCCACATTATAAATGTTTCATTACTGGCAAAAGAACAAATATGCGACAATTCTTGTTGACTGTCTGGACAACTTAGCTGCTGTGGGTGTATGTTTTGTTGCCTGGCAACTTATATTTATAAAAAAAACATGACATTTGTTAAATACCCACTAGCACACATTATAATAAAACATGCCTTAATTGGAATTGAAGTAATGCAGGTAAATCAAATAAACTGTTATCATTATGATTTCAGAATATCACAGAGAATACTGGTACAAAATCCATAGTACAGAAAACACAAGAGTTAAAAAAACGACGAAAACAGTGGGAAAAAAAATGTGTTGAGTAAGTTATTATGGATTTATGTAAGAATTTAACTTGAGTATCAGAAATCCATATGGCACAATAATAGAGGACAAATCCTATTGATATTCAGTGTTCCACAATTTTCCTTCCAAGAATTAAGCCCCCTTTTCCTAAAACTTGTGAATGTGATAGATGAGACAGTTTTTAACAGATCAATTTCAAATATTGTGGAAAGCATAGGGCTCATACATAATCAGCATTTTGCGACTTTTGGTTCCTGTTTCCCCCCCCCCCCCCCCTTTGCCTAAAGTGCAGAAACCAGGCGATATTCTCTTCTGAGGGGTACTTTTTATACGCCCACATTGAAATGTGGTCGTATATTGTCGTTGCCCCCGTCCTGGGTTACAGTGTCTAGAGACCAAAGTTAATATCTGATTGACTTTAAATTTATACACAGTGTTTAAGGTCTTTAGACGAAGAATCCTATTGATTTTCAGCGATTTCCGATAATTATTGCCAGAGTTATGGCCCTTGATCACCTTGAAAAATCTTGTGGACGCTCTAGAGGCCAAAGTTAATATCCGATTGACCTAAAATGTATACACAGTGTTTAAGGTCATGAGACAAAGAAGCCTATTGATTTTCAGCGATTTCCGAAAATTACTGCCAGAGTTATGGCCCTTTATCACTTCCGCCATACTTGAAACAAATCGGTCTTCTTCCGGGATTTCGTAATGTGTTCAGCTTGGAACCGATTCTGGAGTAGGAACCCAGGGATTTTTTGTTCTGAAGTGGTGTTTTATTTACTTTGGGGCCATACCCTATCGGCTGAAACAGGAATCAAAGTTGTCTGTAACATTTGAAATAAACATGTCTATTGGGGTCACTAGGGGGCGTTCTGAAGTACAAAAACCAGCTGATATTCTCTTCTGGTGGGTACTTTATATTTATAGGTCGAATTGTGGCACCATTCTCACGAAAGAATGATTTTGTCCGCCATACTTGTTCTACCAGGATTTTGTGATGTGTTCAGCTTGGAACCCATTCTAGAGTAGGAACCCAGGGGATTATTTGTTCTGAAGTTGTGTTTTATTTACTTTGGGACCATACCCTATCAGCTGAAAAAGGAATCAAAGCTATTCGTCATATTTTGAAATAAACCTATGTTCTCGGGTCACTAGAAGCCAGAAGCGAGGGGATTTTTTGTTCTGAAGGGCACTTTACAAGTTTGTCTTAGCAACGTGAACTTATGTAGCAAAGATTAACTTTGTCCGCAAAAGTTTGAATTAAATTGACTTTTTCTGCGATTTCGGGGGCGTGCAACCCCTAACCCCAGGGGATGTGCAACTTAAGAATTCCCATTCTGATCATCGGCCATGATGGTCCCTCCGTTAGGCATAGTGCCAATTTTGTCTGCGAGTTTAGGAACAACGGTCAGCTAGCTCCCCTACTAAGCAGCTTGATGTAGCCTGGCTGGCTAGTTTTTGAGAATGACTTTAGTATTGTAATCTATACTATGCTTGTATCCGGCTATGATGTATAAAATGTAAAAACTAACTATTGCATCGTTATTCCTGGAAAGACAAATGTCTTAACCCTTAACCGGTCAGCGTCATTTTGACGTCAAGTGGTCAGGCTAAATAAAGGCTGACGTTAATTATTTTGTATGCCTATTTCAATCGACTACTGCCGAATAATTATAAGTGATAGACTCTTGACACCAATAAAAAAGTTGCTGGGGGTAAGTTGATCTATAATTTGCAAATCATTCTAAATTCTTTTCATCAAAAATATCGTCTTAAGAATCGGTGTCATCGATATAATCCGAGGCAGAATAATTCATAAGAATTTCAACCACTTCGAGCGTCTTTAAGGGTTAAGAAAACAGAAGTAAATACACAACATGAAGGGGAAGCAAAGACAGCTAGAGACTAATTCTAGACGATCACAAGGCTACTAATATATGTAGTAAGAAAAGATGCATGGGTCGTACGTAGGATGTGCCGACCGGTTTGAGAAGGCCCATGGTGCTACAATTATTGTCCCCCGCCTTTCGAAGAAAGTAGGGGACTATTAAAATGGGTCTGTCTGTTCGTCACACTTTTTGGGACACAATAACTCTCCTAATTTTCTGCTTGGGGTAAACAGAGATAAGTAATTAGGCTTTCACCTTCGGTGAAAGACTATTGTTATTACTAAGATTAATATTATTAGGCTTTCACCTTCAGTGAAAGACTATTGTTATTACTAAGATTAATATTTGCCTATTTCTCAGCAACTATAAGAGACAGAGGTCTGAAATTTGATTTTCTGTTGGGAAAGTGGTGTGCAGCTACTGCTTAAGGCTATTTACAAATTTGTGCGCATAGCGGAAATGCGTTAAATCGGCCATTATTCTCTTAATTCTCAATGGATTCTTCAGATATTTACATTTTTGGATAGCTGGAGACATTTCTGAGCAGATAGCTGTTCAAAACTGTGGAAATTAGAAACTTTGTCGCTCTAATTTTTTTGGTGAAAAATGGAAAATTTTCAAAATTTTCTAATTTTTTTATTTTTGGGAATTTTTAAATTTCAGTTATATTTTTGGATAGCTGACATCAATCCGATTCCAACAATATAAGTTTTTTTCTGAAATGTTGACTTTGATTTTTCACTTTTTTTCGCATTTTGGTCAAATCGTAGATTTCTTATTTTTTTAAAACGGCTCCAACGATTTTTCTGAAACTTCAGGAATATGAAGTCGAAGGACCAGACCAGTCCATGAACTATAAATGAAAATCCCCTAATCACCGGAAGTAGTCAAGAAAGGTATCCAAACTTTGACAAAATTGTGAAAAATGGGCGTCTGTGCGGAAAATGCTATGTATCAACAGTGTTTTTGTCGTTTAGTTAAAGTTTTATATCGTTTAATAGCCAATTGAATTGTCTATCAGATGGTACTTCAGCGACAAGTTTCTATCAAAAACTAAAAAAGTTATATGACCTTGAAAAGTAAGGTATTTTGCGATTTCGAGCAACTTTAGACGCATGTTTCTCGGAAACGCCCCCAACGATTTTTTTAAAACTTTCTCAATCGAGAGATAAATGGGTACTCTGTTGTGTGAAACCACTGTATCATTTTTTGAAATGTCAGGGGTAGCCGAAAAATGAGATCAAAAATCGAAAACGTCGTATTTTTACGATTTGGAGCATTTTTAGAGGTCTATTTCTCGAAAAGTCAACATAATATTTTTTAGGAACTTCTTCTACAGAGAGGCCTATCAGTAGTGTTATATATAAAACCATTGTACAACAGTTCCAAATTTCAGGAGTAGCAGAACAAAGGGATCGAAAATTGAACACGGCACCTTTCATTGTTAAGCGAAACATAAGAGGGGATACAATCTGTACGTTTTGTCAACGTATAGAGCCAATTCAAGAGTGCTTTTATCAGTGATAATATTTGAACTAAAATTATTTCAACTATGAGTGTTTTCTTCTATCCAAAATATGGGTATAGTGACCCTGTAACAGAAATAGTTTATAGCTGTGTGTAATAATTAGTCTTTGAATTAATATTGTTGCTTCTTTGTCAAAATTATCTTATACCGGTAATCATCTGGATAGAAATCGACGGCTCGCGCTGTTTATAAGACAGTCCAATTTATTTAGCGTTTGCAGTAGTATCGTACAGTGGTATGGAATATTGCACCTGTGATAAAAGGCATGACGTTGTTTGAGCATGGACTCTTTCTGTAATTAATGTTAAATTTTTATTAGTGACGTCAAATCTTTAAGGTGCACGAAACCAGAAAATTGGCGATATTTCATTGAATATTCAATCAATTTTTGAACCAGTTACATATTTGAGTAGCTGACATGAACGCGATTCCGAAGTTCCGTGTACACATTGGTGTGACCGTAAAAGATCCCTTGGCGGTTGGAATTCTGTATAAAAGAAGACTAGTGACTCTGTACGAGCATGTTTAGAGGTCCTTTTTCTCAAAAAGGCAATCTAATATTTTGGGGGAACTCCTTCTATAGAAAGCTTAATTGATATATATTTGAATGAAAAGAGAGAGAGAGATGGGGTTTAACGTCCACTCGACACAAACTAGGTCATTTCTGGACTAACATATGGTTTAATTTTTTTATTTCAATAAATCGCTTGCGCGTAGGGGTCTTTAGCAGTTGGAGGAAACCGGAGGACCAGGAGAAAACACACGAGGTTGGACAGGCGACATACTCCTTGTCATGTTCAACCGGGGAATCGAAACCCAGCCAGTTGATTCAATGACAGACTGTATGATACAGCGCAGTCCCAAAGGCTATAGCCTACCGTGCAAATTCCAGCCAGCATAATGTATCTATATAAGAAATATTTATTCCTACTGGGGATTTACAATCAGTCCCAAAGGCTAACCTACCGTGTAATTTACAGCCAGCATAACGTATCTATGTAAGAGACATTTATTCCTACTGGCGATTTACAAATATTGCATGAAAAAATTCAAATCATAAGAACATAAACACGACTAATGCACAGTATCATATTGATTATAAAAGTACAATGTATATATTGGTTATACTATATATGTCACAAAACAACAATCATTAGATAATAATGATTATTTACTAATTATATAAATCATTTAAGAGGTAGGAGTTATCCATTGTTTGATTTAACAGTTATATAATTACCATGGTTAGAAAGGTACGAACAATTAAGGTACTTAAAGAGAGAGAGAGAGAAATGGGGTTAACGTCCACTCGACACAAACTAGGTCATTTCGGGACTAACACATGGTTCAATTTTTTTTCAATAATTCACTTGCGCGTAGGGGTCTTTAGCAGTGGGAGGAAACCGGAGGACCCAGAGAAAACCCACGAGGTTGGACAGGCGACCCTACTCCTTGTCACGTACAACTGGGGATTCGAAACCACACCAGTAGACTCAATGACAGAATTTATGCTACAGCACGCACGTGGTAACCATTCAGACATCCAACCCCCCTAAACAAATGATTACGAAAGAACATAACGCTATAGACTTTTTT